TCATTTACCACCTTCTGTCTGTTCAGCGTTTTTGGAGGATATTACCAGGTCTTTAATCCCGTTTTAAGGGGGCAAGCTACGATGTAAATCAAGTCACTTAAGTATTTTTCCATGAAACTGTTCCCCAGAGGCGCGTTTTCCGCAGCGATACCGGAGGTTGAACGAGTCAGGAGGAATTGCCTCGAAAAACAAGGCGAGGATGGGCAAAACCAGAAGGCTACAAAAAGCAGATGCTTTTCCAAAAGTTGCAGGGGTGGAGGGGTTTAAGGGAGAAGAAAGGAACTCTGGCACAGGACGGGCACAGAGCCAGGGGATGCTCGGCCGGAGCTGCTGCCGTGACCTGGAAACAGTTTGTGGCACCACAGGCAGGAAACCACTCTGGCTGCCCCCAGCACGAGGGCTAAATAAAAACCCTTTGTTGCCTTTGAAAGGAATCCCTCCTGGATTTGTGACGGGAAGGAGGAGGTCCGTGGAGATGGTATCTCGCCCTCCGGACAGAGACAGTGATGCAGCGCCAGCATCGCGTGGGAAAAGGGTCAGTGGCAGCAGAGAAAACCCCAACAACAGCCATGAAACTCAGCTAAAAACTCCTCCAAAACGGTGCTTGTGTCAGTGTGGGGGGACTGGATCTCACTGAATGCCCAAAGCCTGGAGGAGAGGAGGATTCAGGGAGATCTTGTAGCACTTCCAGTGTCTCCCAGCACCCTCCTGTGCTGGAGGGCACCGTGCCCAGGGCACACACAGGGAGTGGCTCTTCAGGGCTGGGGGAAGCAGAAGGCTCTGAAGACAGAAAAGTGGTGCAGGAAAGGAGGCAAGAATCCCTCCAGAATGACAGAAGGCTCAGGATGTAGTTTCTAAAGCACTCATAGAGGAAGCATTTCCTGCCCCGAGAGTTTCAGGGTAATTATAATAATGTGCAAATCCCAGCACAATCAGACAAATGGATGACAAGTTCTTGAGGAAATCACGATAAGGATGGTAATATCAGCAAAGCTTTTGAGTTCTTTGCCCTTTCTTAAAAGAATCCCCACCAGTTTGTCCCTCAGGAATTGCCTGTTCATAGCACAGTGTTTTTTAGCAGGGGACTGGAGTTCCCCTTGCTCAGGATTTGGTGCTGTGCCTCCTGCTAACACAGAGGTGTGATCCCAACAGCATCTTGGGAGCTTTAGTATGAGAAATAACCCAAAACTTCACTAAATAAGATTTTATTTGCAGCTTCATACTCTGCTCTGGCTGTCCCACCCGGGACAGTACCACTCCCAAAGACTGGATCTCCTCCCACAGCATCTCCTCCTCCATCTCCTCCTGCAGCAGTTTTTTGGAGGGCTGAGTGTGGTGGGTGTAGGAGATGGGTTGTAATTTCCAGAAAGGGCTTGCCTTGTCTGGGAAGTGGTGCCGTTTGGTTGCTAAGGCTGAGGGTTGAGATGCAAATCTTGTGTCTTTTGGGGTTTCCTGGTGGCGTGGCTTTGCTCCAAGCGCTTCCACGTGCCTCTGTTCTGGAAGTGCTGTAAAGTGTTATTGCTCCCTCACTTTCAATTTAAGTGGGAAAGTTATTAAAATGCTTTGAAACTCGTGAATGGCGACGGACAGGTGAGTGTAAAGTTGATTTATTTGATGGGATTTTGCACAGAAATGGCCCTCTAGCATTGCACATCCTGTGGGTCAGCAATGCTGGTGTCCTGGGAGGATGGTGGGAACCTAATTATTTCATCTGTCTGAAATAGTAACTTTTAAGAGGTGAGGAAATGACTACACCAAAACTATTGTATGCCATCTGCCTGCTAAAATACTTATAGAAAACATGTTTCCTGGCATATAGCTTCCTAGCCATATGTCTGTTGCATCATTCACAATTAAATTAAATCACCCTTAAATACTTGGACAAATTCCCAGTCCGTGTGAACAAGCCTTCATCACTGTGCTGTATGAAATTTGGACACTTGATCCTGTAAATGTTTGGTTGAAATTGGCTCAGGCTTTGCTAACCTGATACAGCTGACACGGACTGCTGTGAGATAATTCAAGTGCGTGGTCCTCGCTTTGGTCTTTCAGTATTTGACTATAAAAATGTGTTAGGGGGTCTGAAAGGAGGAAACCATTCTGCAGTATCCCTTTGCAACATGCTCAAGTCACTTTAAACAGGTTTGAAGGGGGAGTTGTAGCACTAAAAAAAAAAAAGGTGCTATGGAGTAAACAGATGGAAATCCCCGAAGAGCCTGGTTACAGCTGGATATTTGGAATGTTTAGAATATGCTTGGAGTTGTGTACACATGAACGTCCAACAACAAAGCCCGACCTGCTCCTGGTTAGGCTGGGACAGCCTTGGGAAAGCCTGGCTGCTCAGGGCTGTGGGAAGAAGGAGGGTCCCGCTGCCCCCACCCTCTGCTGTGTGTCCCCTGATGGACAATGCTGTGATTCCTGTGCCAGAGGAACGACTGAGGCTCAAAAAACTGAGTGGCTGGCTGGATGGAAGCATCTCGAGGTCCGTCTCCAAAAATCCTCTGAAGGCAGCGCTTTAAACTGGAGAATAATTCTGCCCACAGTGAACAGAAGTGGCAATGAAACCCTGGTTCTTTGACACAGGGAATGTCACTTCAACCCACCCCAACTTCCCCTGGAAACCAAACCCTCGAGCTTCCCGTGTGTGGTGTCTGCCAGACTCGGGCAGCTCCTATTTTTAGTCCAGCTCTCTATTTTCAGCTTGTTTTTGAAAGGTGAGATAAACTCAGCGGCCAAAACCGGATGGTTCTGTTGGTTTCTCTCGTCCAGGGGCAGCACTGGAGGGAGATGGCAGGAAGGCTGGGGTGGGTAGAGGGGCCAGGGGGTGCCAGGGGACAAACCCACCAGTCATTTGTAATATCAAAATCAAATTTCTAAGCATTCCTAAAATGTTTACCCTCACTGGACAGGGTGTTCCCCACCTCTGTCCTTACCAGAGAAACCTTTTCTTGATGCTCTCCGGAGCCAGGGGCTGTTGGTCCTCACCACGTGGTCTTATGTCTTCCTAGGGACTGAAAATTCAGCTTTTTATTTCAGAGAAACTGTGGCTGCCCCATCCCTGGAAGGGTCCAAGGCCAGGTTGGGCAGGGCTTGGAACAGCCTGGGATAGTGGAAGGTGTCCCTGCCCATAGGAAGAGGTTTGGAACTCAGTGATCTTTAAGATGCCTTCCAATCCATACCATTCTATGGTCCTATCATTCTGATTTTTAGTTGTGTTCTTCAGCCCAAATTCTCACTTTGAAGACAAAAACATATCTGTTATTTAAATAAGACTTTTGTCTCACTCTACCTTTCACTTTTCATCTCTGAATTTATTTTCTGAGCTGATAATGCAATGTAAAACACTGAGTCGTGCATTTCCCAATGTGTGTGTGTTTGAGAGAGGGGAAAAAAGGGAAGATTTTTGGTGGCAGCTGTTGGAGTCAGCCAGGCTGTACCCACACTCAGGTTTTAAACCATATTTTACTGGGATATTTTGGTCTCTAATAGAGCTGTGTCGCTCTGTCATTCAGTAATAGATTACTGAACATAATAGAAATCTTTATATAGACGTTGGAGCACTTTTCTTAGCTGCAGATGTTTCCTTCCAAGAGATAGTTTCCTGCCATAGAATGACAGAATGGTTTGAGTTGGAAGGGACCTTTAAACATCATGTCACCCAACCTCTATCCTACACTAAAAGCAAAAGCTACTGGAATTTTGTCCTACCAATAAATGTGCAAACTGGAAATGCTATTTGGGGATCTCTTTGTACATAATACTATTGTATCCTTTTCTCCTCTGCCTTTTAATCATTTTCTGACTGTATCCCCCTAAGACGGGGGTGTCCCATCCCTGGAAGTGTCCAAGGCCCAGGTTGGGTGGAACTCTGAGCAACCTGGCCTAGAGGAAAGTCTCCCTGCTCATGTCTGAGGGTGGAATGAGATGATCTTTAAGGTCCCTCCCAACCCAAACCATTCTGAGATTCTATGACTCTATGACTGTAGAAAAGTTACAGGGGCATCCATAAAAAGATGACACACTGAGTGAGTGCTTCCTTGTCCTTCCTTCCACAGCTCTTTTCCTGGCCACCTCATTTTTGATTTCCTGTTTGCAATGACACATTTAGTGACTTCATCACCCAGCAATCAAAGAAAAGGAAGGATTAAGATTTAACTAGAGTTTAGTTTCCCAAGGCATCATATTTTTTAATGGCAAAGTCAGAGTCAGGGAATGGTTTGGGTTGGAAGGGACCATGAAGCTCATCTCATTCCACCCCCTGCCAAGGGCAGGGACACCTTCCACTAGCCCAGGGTGCTCAGAGCTCCATCCAACCTGGCTGTAATCACTTCCAGGGATGTGACATCCCCACATTAGGACACATTTACTGAGCCCCTCATCCCACCACTTCCAGAGCTGGTCCCACGTGTGCCTGCAGTGCAGCCACTGGAGAACCAGGGACCCTCAGCCAAGTTTTCCACTTGGTAAAGCTCAGCCTGGTAATAAAACTGAAGCCAGTATTTCTCTGCTGCTTTTAGTGTTTCTATAATGCATTCCTAATGGAAATGAGCTCCGGGAAGTTATTTGTCTCACGTCCCTCTTCTGCTCCAGGTTTGATGCCAAAGTTTCTGCCTGTGGGTTTTTCTCTCTCCCCCAGCCCTTTCTCTAACCCATCTCATTCGTGCTCCCTGTTTGACCACAGTCCATTTAGTGAAGCAAACGGAGTTACTTCTCTTCAGGTCAGCGATGATTTCCCATCCTTGAGTTCTCTGCTTAATTTGCTGAGAAATTTTCCGATTCTGAAGTTCATTTTCAGCCTTCCCCCCTTTTCCACAGCTCTGGGACCGAGCACGGGGGTCACTGGACTGGACCTGGGGCTTCTCCACATCTCTGCTCTCCCCAGCCTGTGTTTACTTTGCTCTGAGGGAAGTTGAGCTGCAGGCTCTGCTGTAATCCTTCCACCCAGGCTCTGCCCCTGCCTCTGCTTTAATGGGAAAGCAGCAGCTCTCAGGAAAGAGTTAATCCCAGCCAGGCTTTGGGATCCTTTGCTGGGGAGAGGGCTGATCTTTTGTTTGTTTTGAAGCGCTGGCAGGAAAGTGGGGAGGAGAAAATTACCTAAGTGATAGTGAGGTTGCCATGAACTATATAAAACTGGGAAATCAAAGCAGAGAAACTCCACCTCACAGTCTTGAACCACAAAAGCACAACCCCTGAAGAGAAACCCACCCCACAAACTGAGTGATCTCAAAGGCTTGAACTCAAACCAAGCTGCATGAGCTCAGAGCTGCTGCAGGACTGAGAACCCCGGAGCTGTCACGGCCAGCTCCAGTTGTAGGAGTGGGAGCTGGGAGCTGGGAATGCTGTTCTTGGGAAGTTTCACGGTGATGAAGTGGAGGCAGCTCTTCTGGATCGCCCTCTGCGTGGTGGAGTTGGCTGGTGAGTATCGAAACGCAGAACGTGCCAGGGTTGCACAAGAAACCACTGCATGGGGGCAACTCCTGGGCAAGTGGGGAGCAGCAGCTTTGGGGGAGGGGGGAGGGATGAGTTTTAATGAGTTTGAAATCACAATTTCGCATCCAGAGGTGACGTTTTGCAGAGCAGCCCTGCACCAGGCACCCCGGCCAACACACTCACAGCCGTGTGCTGGAGCAAAGTGCTGCTGGTTTGAAAGGGAGAGGAATCAGCATCTACGCTCCCTCCAATATTGTGGATAACAGGAGGGGATGGGGATGCAGCAGGCAAGGGGAGCGCAGCCACAGCCGGTCGTCTCTCCGCCTGCCTCGGTGTAAATGAGCCTCACTTTTTGTTTTGTGGTTGGAACTAAACATTTGCTGAACATCAAATGAATCTCCATAAATATTAAAATCTCCCTATTCCAGCTCTTCAAATATTCATCGTATGAGGCAGTGAGTAACAGCACAGAGATTTTCTCTAGGTGCTACTTTTTAAAGGGTTATATTTTAGGGAAATATTATCATTTTTTGTCCCAAACCCAACAACCATGAAGTAATTAAAAAAAAAAAAAAAAAAAAAAAAAAAAAAAAAAAAAAAAAAAAAAAAAAGGACTAAAAAAGTGAAGCAACACTCTGCGTGCTGCCTGGTGTGCTGGGACAGGAGCCAGGAGCCTGCGGGTGTCTCCTCAAATGTAATTTTTCCTTATTCACACGAATGTGAGCAGCAGAATGAGATCTACTGCAAGAATTCGCTGTGTTTTGTTCCTCTGTTTCACGGCGCTCCTTTAATGTTCCCTTTGCTTGCCCAGGTATATTGCTCACCTGAGCTGCTTGTGCCTCACCCTCCAGCCTGTGTAAATTTTACAAGAAGGAAAAAAAAGCAACTTTATTTAGGAGAAATGATATTTAGGACTGTTTGGTTGGGCTGAACTGAGCAGCGAGCGGGGGTAGGACAAAAGGGTTTACCTGAGATGCAAAACCCCAAATTCCTCATAGCACAAAGCAAAAGTGATACAAAAGTGACAAAAAGCTGGGATTTGGGAAAGACAAAGGGTGACAGGGTCTTTAATGCTGTAAAATGTCACTTCACAGCCCATGCTCATCACTACTGATGGATATTTCTTGCTGGGAGGTGGAGGAGGTTTATTTTTGCTCAGTGTAGGTGCTGAGAGAAATTAAGGAGCTCGCCCTTGGGGCACTTCATGCTCCTCATCTCCCTGGGGAGTCTGAGAGAATCCATCAAAGCTTCCAGTTGTGCAGCTCCCCATGGAAATCCCAAGTTTGGGCTCAAGTTGCTCCTGGCAGCGCTGCCGAGGGTGGGACAAGCGGCCTCCTCCTGCTCCCAGGACACCTCCAGCTAAAGCCACGTGTTTCACAGGGAAAAATCCCTCATGCCACACCGGGCCAGGGGCAGGAATCCAACAGATGCTGTGTGTGGATGCACTGTGGGGAGGATGGAGTTCGGATACCAGGACCCCAGAGCCAGGGGCAGCCTCCCCACAGGGAGCAGGTCACCTGTGAAAGGCTCAGTTCTGCTCTCTGCCTGGTTCTTTGGGGGATCCATGGAGTTTCAGTGAGTGTGGGAGAGGCTTACACAGATCCCTGGCCCGCAGAGTGGGCACCAGGGCTGCTTGGGAACCCTCCCCAGCTCCTGGCAGGATGGTGTGAGGAGTTTGTGTTGGAAAATTGGGTTTTGATAAACCCCCTGGAGAGCTGTCCTGTGCACGTCTCAGAATGAACGTGGAAAAGAGAGCACAGATTGTATTTGTGCTGAATGAAAAACACTTTATTTCTTTATTTAACCTTTTATTTTTCTTTTTTAATGTCTTTTTTATTCGCCTCTGCCAAACTTGATCTTCAGAAAACTCTCTTTCCTTGCAATTTTCGAGACTTCCTTCTTTCTTTCTTTCCTCTTGCAACGAAGTTCTAAATATCAGCAAAGGGAAAAAGGAGCTTTAAAACTTCCAGCTGCTTGAGCTTAACATCCTGCAGAGGCTGCACATCGTAACTGCTCCAGCCAGGAGAAATCTCAGTCCCTGGGAAGGTCCTGGTGCTCCCAAAGTGCTGGAGAGGCCCCAGGGCCAAGCAAAGCCTTGGTCCAGCAGCTGGGCTTTGGTGTGGCAGCTCGGGGGGCTCCCACAGCCCCCCGCGCCACCAGGGCGGCCCCACACCCATATCCTGTCTGGGAGAAGGAAAAGGGGGAGGGAAGGGATTTTTATCAGATATTTCCAGAGGGAAGAGGGCTCCACCCGCTTGAATTCCTGCCACATGGCTGAGAGCTGTAAAACTGGAAAGGCATGAGTAATGCCGGCTGGAGCCCTTGGAGGAGCTGCTGCTGCGGGAAGGCTGGGCTGGCTCCAGCTCCAGAGCTCCGTGTCCCACGGTTCCATACCCTCCTCTTCTCTATCCCACGTTTCCATACCCTCCTTTTCCACATTCCAAAGTCCCATGCCCTCCTCTTCCATATCCCACACTTCCATACTCTCCTCTTCTATACTCCACACTTCCAGGAGCTTGGAAAAAGACTTGATTCAACAGGGAGCTGGAGAAGCTCCTGGTTTGCGTGGCAGAGGTGCCCAGTTACCAAAAGGTTTGCCAAGGGTAATCAGCAGTGGCAGCCCAGGAGGTGTAGGTTCTGCCCAGGGATCCATCCACTGGGTTTGCTTTGTTGTAGGGGCAGGACTGAACTCAAATGATGCAAATTTTCTCCTGTTTCCTGAGCCTTTGCCATTGCAGAAGTGGTGGGTTTTTTTTGTGGCCCAGCTTTAGTGCTCAGGGATGAGTGTTGGACCAAGTCAACTCCTCTAACATTTATATTGTTGCTTTTTCTTATTCAGTTTGAGCTGAGATCCTTTGTCAGCCCCACTATTAAAACATCTTTAAAAATCTGAGGCATTTGCTTTTGAAATCTAAGTGGGTAAATAAAATAGGTAGCCTGAAGAGCAATTTTCTTTCCAATATCTGCATGTTGTTGCTCCTGCACTTGCTTGCACTGCCAGGTGAAGATTTCTCCCAGGTCAATAAATAGCTTGGCTAAAGTCCCAAACCCTTAATACTCCCAAATTGACAAAGTTTAGTAAAACCATTAAAAATGTATGGTGCAATAAATGACCCACTCAAACTGAGCACCATGTGGCTTATCCAGCCCACATCTGGATCATTATTTATCTCATGAGTCCTCAAATTTCAAAAAAAAAAATTAAAAAAAATCCAGCCATGTTTTCTGTAAAAGGACCTGCACATGCTGCAACAAAGGCAAGAAAAAGAAATACTATGTGACAGCTCCTCTCCCACATTACACCGAGCAACAGCCAGGCTGCAATTCCAATATCCAGTGGTGAAAAAGGCTTTGATTAGAAATACCTCTGGTGCTTTACAAACATCTGGAACAGTTCAGAAAGGTGCTTGGGTGGCTGTGGCACTTGGGGAGGTCAAGCCCAGGCGCTGCATTGTTCTGGTGATGTAAAGTTTCCTGCTCGTGTCCGTGAAAACACGGAGTTGTGCGTAAAGCCTGGACTCAGCTTTGCGCTCCCCGTTATTCTGGGCACGCAGTCATGCCTCCTGCTTTTGATTTGCTAAAAGTCATCAGGAAAACTTGGTGATTTAACCAGCTGGAACTGAATTGTCTTGGAGGGAAGAGACTTCTCCCCGAAACAAAAGCTGGGCCAGGACCTGAATTCCAGCTCCGGACACCTGCACCGAGCCCTCGGCAGGGCCCCTGCCTCCCCCAGAACAGCTGCAGGGATGGGATGGGATGGGATGGGATGGGATGGGATGGGATGGGATGGGATGGGATGGGATGGGATGGGATGGGATGGGATAGGTAAGGTAGCATGGGATGGATGGGATGGATACGACAGGATGAGATGGATGGGGGGGATGGGATGGGATGGGATGGGGTGGGATGAATGGGATGGGATGTGAAGGGGTAGAATGGATGGGATCAGATGGGATGGGATAGGAGGGGATACACCAGTGTAGGCAGCTCCATGGGCCAGACTGGGGCACTCATTTCCCCCTCACACCCCTTGGTACAACCTCCCATTGCAGGAACAGCTCTGCCCCCTGCCCCTCGCTGCCAAAATGAACCTCAGTAATCTCAGCCTTTTCTTCTCACAAACCATCCAGGCTCTCTGGGCCTGATCCAGCCATATCCTGACATCCTGACGTAGAAAAATTCCTGCAGCACGCAAACACCAGGGCTGTTTACCTGGCACCGGGAGCTGCCCCGATACCGGCCCTGGCAGCTGATCAGGACCTGCCAGTGCTGCTCCATCCCTCGTGGAGTGTGGATGAGGGTGGGGGGATGTAGTAGCTTTTCTTGGAGCTCAGGCTCCCCTGGGCAGAGATACAAATGAAACAACACATTTCACACGATTTTCTTTCTGATGCCTGGATAAGAATCTTGAACACCGAGAGCCCTCGGGTAGAGAGTGGAGCTGTTTGTTAAAAGTGGGAATAGATCTTGAGAACAGAGAAGGTTAAGGAATGGGGAGAAATGCATTTTCACTGACTCATATACTTCATTTCAGAAGGAAAAGCTGGAAGTGTCATCTCTGTAACACAGCAGGAAGCAATATATAAACTTTAAGTTAGAACAGCAAACCACTCTCCAAACATTCTGCTTTACCTCCAAAGATGTTTTCACTCATGAGTCAGGGCTGATCCCAAGCCAGTGGGAATGTTTCTATTTACTTTGAGATTGTGCCTGCAACTGTAAATCCAACTTATCTATCCTGAGGCACACAAGTGATCTCTTCCAAGGCTTGAGTCTTTCCTCCAAGGATTATAAGCCCAAACTACTATGAAATCCAGCTTTGTGCATCCATCAGTGAGCTGAGGATGGGGTGGGATAAGGGTAGAAATGAGCCTGTCCTCCTCCTCCTGAGAGCCCTGGAGCCCCTGCAAGGGCTGCACCAAAGTCTGCTGCTCGCCCAGCTGAAACATTTCACCTCTGAGCTTCTCCCAGATGTGCTCCGAGGCACCCCTGCCATTCTGGGGCATTAAACAGTGAATTTGTGAGAGCACAGACCCTTTCCTGCCTGCTCCCTGGGGGCTCAGGGCTGGGGTGGGGGTTCAGCAGCCCCCAACACCTTCCTCTGTCCCCAGGTAACACTTCTGGAAGCCCGACAGAGACACCTGCACCCACGGCCACGGACATGGCAGAGGAAGGCAACAGCAGTGGGGCAACCACTGGAACCATCGGAGCCACTGGGGCCCCTGGAACCGCCAGCAGTGCCAAGCCCACACCAGACACATCTGGTAACTGCTCTCCTTGTTCCCCCTGTGATTCCTGGCAGAATTTGTATTAATAATTTGATTTATTAAGTGCACAGCCTTGCACCCCTAGGGCGTGGTTTGCGCTCTCAAATAACAAGAGGAGGATAGTGCAATCGAAAGCTTTAACTCTGTCCAAAAAAAGTCCCACCTGGGGACACCCAGCCCTGCTTGTCTTGAGGACGGGTGGTTTAGAACCATCCTGCTCAGAACAGCCAGGAGATGGTGGGACACAAAGCTCATTAATCTTTACCTCGACACATGTGTTAGAAACAGCACCTGTCAGAGGTGAGTGTGCCCACTGTAACCAGATCATGAAGCCCATGTACCAATTAGGCAGCTGAAACAGGGATAATGAGCGTTTCTTGGAGAGCCAAGGACTTGTTCTGGTGCTGGCTGTGACAAATCAGCGTTGTACTTCAGTCACTGCAATGCCACGCACGGGATTTGGAGGACTTGAGCTTTCTCACGTCTCATTTTCACTGCATTTCTTCAAAGCTGAAGCTGCAGGTGGGTCCCTGACAGGCACCCCCAGCTCCACGGGATCCAGCGGAGAGCAGATGAGCTCCCAGACCAGCCAAGCCCCCCCAGCAGCACTGAGCACCTCCTCAGAGACACAGAGCCAGAAGGTCCCCACGACCAGGAGCCCAGAGACACAGCCCAGTGAGACAGCAGAGGCCTCAGGGTCCCCAGCGGGCACAAAGAGCTCTCCTGCCACCACGGAGCATCCTCCTGTCTCAGCTGCCACGGTGCCACCGCACACAGCCAGGGACAGCCCAAAGGTGAGGCTGGGGGGCCACCAGGAGGCTGGATTTGCCTCACAACCCCTCCCAACAGGTCACTGATACCACCCCCGTGTGTTTTCCCTTCCAGCCCTCCCCTCTTCCCATCACATGCCACAATGTCAAGGAAGTGAGTGCCACTGGAGCCATCTGCCTGCAGCTCAACGAGTCCACCACCTGTGTGAGTGCCCCCTGTGTCCCCAGGGTGGAGGAGGGGGGGACAGGCAGGAGGAGGGGGCTGCAAGGAAGCAGCTCAGGGCATGTTCCTGCTGCGAGTCTTGCAGCAATGGGGTCACCCATCACAGCTGGGGAGGGTCAGTTTGGGGTGGGGAGCTCATGGCCAGAGCATCTGAGCTGTGCCAGACTGAGGGAGGAGGGGACGGTCACAGCAGTCCCAGGAAGATCCCAAAGGGATGATCAACCCCAAAGGGAAATGCAACCTCCTGGCTGCATAAAACCTCCTTTTTTTTTTTTTTTCACGATTAAGCTCTGAGGCCAGTTCAGCTTCTAAAGTATCTCCCACCATGTGTAGCAGGAAGTTGCCTTTGTTCTTCTTCTTCCGCTTCCCTGTCGAGAACACAAGTGCCTTTTTTTGTCTTGCCAACTGCCCTAGGAAAGAAAACAGGGCATTTGAAGGAGCTGATCAGTGTCCCCATCAACTCCTAAGGGAATCCCAGGCTCTCTGTAACTGCCCTTGGCCTTGTGCACCAAAAATAAGGTTTATAAAATCAGAGGAGGGTCTACTGTGGGTGGGAGGAAGAATCCTTTCCCACTAGAGGTACAACCTGCCACAGAGGGTAGGTGATGCTGGATGTTGTGGGATGGCAGACTGGGCATAAAATATATATAAAATACATCATTTCACTTCTGCCATTCAGCCCTAGTGCTGCCACTCGGGATGAGTGAATTCTTATTTTGCTTTTCTCTGCAAATTAGTGGTTGAATGGCATTTAGACTTGCTCCCCTTTACTTTAGCAAGAACCTACGGAGGGAAACTCCTCCGGGAGCGAGTGATTCCGATCACAGATGCCATCTAGTGGGCTCTGATCCCTCCTGGGCACAGGGTTTGCACATCACGTGTATAAAGGGACGCATCTAGAACAGACAGAATATCCTATAGAGTCGTATCTCACCCGCTCTTAACCCTCCCTCCACGTGAAATGGTTCAAACAGCCCAATTTCCCACCGTGTTTTCCTGGTGGCTCCCACCCCACGGCAGATCTCTCCCTTTCCTCCTCCTCAGCAATCCTGGAGCGGGAACAGCCGGCTCAGGCTGGACCTGGGGAGCAGATAAGAGTGTCTGCGAGGGGAGCAGATAGGAGGGACCGTGTGTCTCACTTTCCTGCTGGCCTTTCCCAAAGCAAATGAGCAATCAGCTGGCACCCGGCACCGCTAATTGCGAAGGGAAATTCTGACACTCCGATGAGTTCTTTCCACAGCAGAGAAAGGAAAATACACACTTGGGTCTCTTGTTCCATCTTGGCCCTTCTCACCCCATGCCAAAGCTCTATAGAAACAGCTGAAAATGATTTGTTTGTTATTCTCCCGTGGATAAGGTTCTGCATTTTTGTAGGCTAAGAGGATGTGGCGATCGGAGCACAAGTGCTGAGGCAATTCCGAGGCAGGGAGAGGAAGGCACTGAGCCTCCTGGCTCTGCACCACCCTGCAAGACAAGAGGGTTTTCTCCTCTTTCTTTGCTGGGTCCCTGCAGGGATTGAGTGGAGGGCAGGGGCAGGACAGGGGGTTCAGCTGGAGCCGGTCTCTGTCTCAGGGGGGTGGGCACGGCCAGGGCTCGGAGGATGTCCCCATCTGGGAGGATGTTGGGGAAGCTGATAAGGTCTTTTAGCAACTGTGGGCTCTGACTCCAAGCCTGGCTGTGGTTGAAAATAGACCCCAGGAGAAAGCCTATCCTGTCTGATACAGAAATTGGCCCACAGAAGGGAAAGGCTGCAGCTCCTCATTCCTCTTCCTCTTCCACCCAAGAGTCAGTTCAGCTCTAAAATGTGAGAAATTTGTGTTTTTTTACCTAGCCTTTGATCAGTAACCTAGCAAAAACATTGAAGACATTTCCTAAACAGGAAGGCTCAATGCTTCTTTGTTATTTCCCTCCTTTCTCAGCCCCTGCCTGGGACTCTGAAACAATAGGGCTCTTCAGGCAGCCATTCCAGTCCAAAAACTGGAGAGACTTGCCGTGCAATTCAGGTCCTAAATATAGATTTGTTTAAATGCCATTTTCAAGAGTTGCTAATAATATCTTCATTTAATTTATTCTCATTACATTAAGAAACAAGCATCTCCATTTCTAAGGTGTTGTTGTTGGGGGTCTGGGCAGGGGTGAAGTGGGATCTGACACCTGGATCAGCTTTGCAGGGCACAGATAAGCCACCAAAACCCAAATGTGAACGTACAACACCACCATCAGCATGGCTGAGGCAGAGAATTAATCACCCTGGTTGGTTTAATGGCTGTTCTTTTTTGGAAATTTTGCAGAAACACTTCTTAGAGAGGAAGGGATCGGATTTGTGGAGAGCAGTATGCCAAGAGAACACCCACCCCGTTCCCTCCCCCTGCCAGATCAAACTCGCCAGATCCGAGGTGGACCATCACTGCATGCTCCTCATCCTCAGTGGAGAGAAAGGTCAGTGGAAAAGATCACAGAATCTTAGAATGGTTTGGCTTGGAAGGGACATTAAAGATCGTGTTGACTCTTTTGGCTGCCACTGTTACCGCTGGATAACGACCTCGATGTGGGCAATGGGAGAGGGAATGTTTGTGGGGAAGGGCTGTGGGACACAAATGCTGGGAGCAGACCTCTCTCTGCAACTACTGCTCTTTCTTCTGGGGTCTTGTACATCTCTGGAGCCACAGCATTGCCTCCAGAGCAGCCCCTCCGTGCTCAGCCAGGCCCTTCAGGGCTGACATTTCCCACAGCAGGACCCTCTGTGTAATGTGCCTCTCCTCTTTTAAACCTTGCAGATCCTGCTCCACATGTGCTCAAGGAGTCTCACTGGGAAAAGGTAAATTCCTTAAGCAAATTCAGCTGGGAAAAAATGGGTGGTTTGAAGGGCTGGAGAGATGAGATTTTTAGGTGGTCAGTTAAGAGTGGGGGAGAGGCTGAGACTTGAACCTGCCTCCAGTTTGGAGATGCCTGATGAGTGTTGGCACAGGAGACCCCTGGAAGTGTTCGGGGTCAGGTTGGATGGAGCTTGGAGCAACCTGGTCTGGTGGAAAGTGTCCCTGCCCACGGCAGGGGGTTGGAATGGGATGAGCTTTCAGGTCCCTTCCAACCCAAACCAGCCTGTGATCCCATGGCTGGAGCCAACAGCGAGGTAGAGATGCACCATAAGAGGATTAACACAAGCCATGGAGGCAGAAATGCTTGAAGTGGTTCTGTAAAATCTTGTGGTGTTTCCTTAAGAAAGTTTTTGATCCCAACAATAACTGTTAGGATGCAATTGGCTTCTTCAAAGTCCCACTCTGACATTCACGAATTCCTCCTCCCAGCGCTCCCCTGAGGCTGCCATTGGCTCGTGGAGCTGAGCTCCAGGTGTCTGCAGATACATAAATGGCAGAGCTGCAAGAGCAGCACACAGAGAAGAGGTCTCAGCCCTGCAGATGTGAGCTCTAAACCTCGGGGTCTGAGCGCTCTGGTCCAAGGGGGAAAAATTCCCTGTGCCACAGGAGACTCTAGGTTGGAAACGAGACAGTGAGGACGTGAGAGCTCGTAGGGCCAGGGCAGAGCTCAGGGGCTGGGGTAGCAAAGCCCAGCTTTGTTTACGTGCAGTTCCTCAAGGAGGTGAAGAGCAGCATTGTTTGAAGTCGGTGCCTGCTCAGCAGATGCACATGTTTCCTGTTTGTCAGACTCAGGGCTCTCTTTGGTGTTGTTTTGTTGGGTTTTTTTTTTCCCAGTTTGGAATAAAATCCCTGAAGTGGGACAGCGTGAGGAACCACCAGGACTTTTCTCAGAAGACCCTGATTGCCTTGGTCACATCTGGACTCCTGCTGGCGTTCCTGGGCCTGGCTGGATATTTCCTGATGAGGCGGCGGAGCTGGAGCCCCGCGGGAGAGAGGCTGGTTAGTGCTTACAGGTGGCAGAGCCGCAGGTAGAGAGGAGCCTGGCAGCGAGGGGGGCACCTGCAGGGGAGAAAAGGGGAGGGTGCCCAGCACCCTGTGCCTCAGAACCCTCCACCCATGCGTGTCCCCAGGTCATGGGGCAGCTCAACCCCGCGTTGTGGCTGAGTCTGGGACAGCCTGGGCAAGGCAAAGGGCAGGAGCAGGGAGGCCAGACTGTTCGGGGTGAAGGGAAACCTCTCTTTGCCTTCCAAAATTAGCTCCTAGCTGATTGCTCCCGTGGGAGAACCGCCCCTTTCTCGCACGTGCTTCCAGGTCTAACACTTATTTTTGCTCAGCAGTAAGAACCCAGCCAGCAAGACTGAAACCCAGTCCAGAGACACTGAAAGCTCATGGATTTGTCATTAAAAGTGACACACTTTAACTTCCATTCCCTGTGTTTGAGTGCTGTGTCTGTCCTGTACCCCTGCTGTAATAAAGGCTATTTCTCCCCTCACTTATGGTAATAAAACATATCAAGAAAGAGACAGAAATCTACTATTTCCATTTTCCCCTTTCCAGGCAGGCCGAGCACTGAGGACTCTTCCCTACCAGTGAGTTTTGGGAATGGGAAGTTAGGCCTGGCCATGATTTTCCCCAGCCTCTGGATAACATGAGCAGTTGTGTCCTGGGAAGCCATCAGATTGTTTCCTTGCCAGAAAGGATGCTCCCAAAACACACAGATGGGAAAAGTCAAGTCCAGGTGTCAGAGGCAGGGCCACCACAGCTCTGGCTCTCCAGCCCGCTGTCTCTAGATCCCTGGATGCTTCCAGCAATGGAAATGTGTGGCTGGGAGCTGCCCATGGCAGTGTCCATCCAGATTCTAGGTGAGATGTGTCCATCCCACCCAAAAGGGGCCGAGTGAAACACTGAGGTGGGCGGGAAGCCCATCAGCTCTCCATGCATTGGATGCTGCTGAGGAAACAAGGAGCAGCTCCCAGATGGGAATTGCCACTTGGATCACCGGTGTCCATTCCATGGCTATCAGAAATGTCACAGTCTGACACTCAGGGAGTTATTGTGAGGGGACAGAGGTGCCTCTGGATTGCCCTGGATGCTCGTCACAGCAGTACCAGTGACCAGCCCTGCAGTGAAGTGCAGCCCTGCACCTCTGCTGGCACCTCACTGCCAGCTGTGCACGTATTTACAGGCTGAGAGGAAGGACAGGGGAAGAAATTGGGACAATTTCCACCCTTTTCATTCCCTGGTGTTTCTTTCTTGGCCCAAGTGGACAGCAGAGGTGTTCTGTCACTGGGTGGCTTTGCAAAACCAAGGCAGTGGCAGCTCTTAAACCTGTTCTGAGAAAACAACAAAACCTGATGGCTTCTCTTTTCAGGTCCAGGCGAAAAAAAAAAAAAAAAAGAAGAAAAAAAAAAAAAAAGGCACTTCCTGGCTTGTTTTCTTGCTTCATCTTGCCATGCCATGGTTCAGGCCCTCTGTCCCCCTTCTTGTCAGCCAGAGCAGTGCCCTTGCCTGTGGTTGTTTGTTCCTCCTGCCCGGGGATCGCAGCCAAGCCCTCGCCTGCAATCCCAGCCGGCTGTCACCCGCCCTGCCCCTCTCCCCTGACCCTGCCTCTCTTGTTTCTGTACCTGTTCAGGCTGAAGACCCGTATTACACGGAGAACGGTAGCCAGGGCAACACGATGCTGATGACGCCCTCCCAGGAGCGGCCGGAGCCGCAGGAGAAGCCGAACCTCAACGGTGGCACCCAGGAGAACGGGACCGGCCAGGCGTCCTCCAAAAACGGGCACTCAGCCCGGCAGCACAGCCCTGCTGACACCGAGATGTGAGCCGGGAGAACTGAGAGAACCGCGAGGGCAAGCAGAGAGGCAAAGGGAGGGCAGGAGTTTTGCCATGGACAAGCTGGGGAACCGCAGACCTTTTTGTATTGTTGTTATTGTTTCTGTGAAGAACTTCAAGAACAAAAAAAAATCAGCCCGGAGCACACTGAGAGCTGCCAAAGACCTGCTTCTCTGCCTCCTCCTCCTCCTCCCATTGACCACACAAGAGACGTTTTCTTTTTTTGCAGCTGTTCTCTGCTTTTGTGTTGTTAGAGGAACATCATGAGAAGTACAAGTGCCCTTAGCCCTCCACAGCTTTTAAGCAGAGGCAGGCTGTGTCCAAACAGCCCAAATTTCTGGTAGCAATTGTGTTAGGCTGATGAAAGTAGTTACATTGGGATTTTTCAGTGACAAAAACCTCTCAGGTTTCAGATAGTTTGGGTTAACAGAGTTGTTTATAATCTCATCTTTATGTTTAAGTGCAGGATTTCTTCCTTTTTTTAAGACCATCAGGCATTTAACCCCCTTCTTGTGTTCTAGGTTTCCTCTACTATTTCCTACTCCAGCAGAGTTTGCTGGAGCTCTGTGTAAAACTTTCCACGTGGAATCGAAGGTTGAAATGCCAATAGACCTCAAACTTGTTTCTTTTTGACTCCTGCCAGTACACAGGTAGTTGTTTTAGAGCAGAAATCTTCTCCAGTCTCTTCGTGTCAGGGACTGGGGACATTGTGACGAGGCAGAGCCAGCATTTTATCCCTTGAGTGAGATGGAGATCACTGGATAAGGCTGTGAGGCTCTGTGGGTGCCTGGAGTCCCCCACTCCCCCTGATGTCATGTGGGGATTAAGTGCCCAGCGTAGGAATTTGGGAATAGGAGGTGTCAAAGGGCTCCCAGCGGGATGAGTGTGAGACAGAAACCTGGCCCTGTGTTTCTCCCTCTGCACCAGCAGTAGGTACATAAACAATGAGCAGTATTTTCACTTTGGTAGGTCCCCAAAGCCCCCCAAAGCTCAGTGGGTGCCAGGGACCAAGAGCAGGTTTATTCCTCATCCCAAGCACGTGCAGCTCATTTTTAGGGAGCCAAAGCCCTGGTAGTGCCAGCCCAGTGCTGCTGGTGCAAGACCACGAGGGGTGATGGTTCAGGTGTTGCTCAGCCCACACTCTCAGCTGGCACCAGCAGCAACCTCCACATCCCAAATAAGGACTAAAAGCAGCCCTTGAAGCTGATCTGCCCTCTCACTAGTGAATTCATCACAACCTTTTCCCAGTGCTGAACACCTGAGGGAAAGGCTTTTTTCTTGGTACAGCGCTTAGAGCAAGACACCAACAGTCCATCATCACCTGGGGCTGTTTTCGTGGGGTGCAAGAGTCGTTTAAACACAATTAAAATACTTCAGGGTGTTTGTTTTTGTGTGAATCGCTTCTCCCAAATCTCACTGTAAATAGTCCCGGTTGAAAAAAAAGAAAAAAAAACCAATTATTAAAAATCAGCTTCTCCATTGTGTCCTTGGAAAAGCAGCGTGTTTATCCCACCGGGATGCGTGGCTGTGGCTGCTCCCTGTGCCAGCAGGATGAGAGGACAACGCCTCACCGAGAGGCTGTTTCCCAGCAGAAATCCCATGACTAAAGGCTGTGGCTTGTTCTGAGCACATTTTCCCTCTTTAAACAAACACAGTTGCAGGACAAGTGACGTACAGCAAACTGTTACACCTCGCTCGTTTGATTATTATTTTTTTTTTCTTTTGATGTTTGAGACACCCAGTTAATTCCTGGAAAAACAAATGAGGCTCCAGAGTGATGTTGCAGTGCTGGGGACTGACCTGGGCGTGTATGAAGATGATGATCGTTGTTGTTGGCCTTCAAGCTGTGCCAGGGGAGGGTCAGGTTGGACATCAGGAGGAATTTCTTCCTAGAAAGGGTGCTCAGGGGCTGCCCAGGGAGGTGGTGGAGTCCCCATCCCTGGAGGTGTCCGAGGAAGGACTGGACGTGGCACTCAGTGCTCTGGGCTGGGGGACAAGGTGGGCATCGGGCACAGGTTGGACTTGACGGTCTTGGAGGTCTTTTCCAACCTTAACTGTGATTCTCCCTCACTCTGGGCCCTCTGCAATAACCAGAAGTGGTTCCTGCATCAGAGAATTTGCAGGGAGACGTGTGGCAGCCCTGTAGTGTCTTCTCTTGTGGAGGTGCTCAAGCTCCACTGCAGGCAGGAGGTTTGCTGACCTGGGCCCCTCCTTTTGGGGATGCTCAACCCTTCCAAGTGCTTATTCCCTGGCAGAGGCACACCAGGACCTCCTCAGGGGATACTAAATACAGCTAGAAAACACCCCCAGCACCTGTTTTGTTGTAGTTTGGGGCAATCTGACCTCTGGCAGGCTGAGGAACAGATGCAGGAAAACGAAATTACTTTCCCAGGGAAAGCTCTCCCGGAGGCTTGATTAGCTCTGTGAGGTGGGACAGCGAGCCGGGGCCGCCTTTTCTTTTTTTTTCCTTTTTTTTTTTTTTTCCCTTTTGGCAGTTGTTTATCTAATCAGCACTGTATCAAAAGCTGGAGATCTAATCAAACGTCAGGTGCGTTTTTCACAGCTCAGGGTACGTCCTCCAGCCAAGCAGAGACAATACAGTTACAGTCAAGTGCTTTGGCGAAACAAAAGGGTTCGCTAAAGCCTCGGGATCGAGGGAAAAACGCCGGGAGCGGGTGGCAGAGCAGCGACGGTGCTGAGCCAGCGGAAAAAGCTGCACTTCCAGCTCAGGAAGCTTTTTGCCTGTGTGTAAATACAGGCAGGCTCAGCTCTGCCCCAGCAGAAAGGGACAATTATTATTATTATTATTCCTTCCTTATCAAACCCCTTGCATTCCTTCCTTGCCAGGCAGCCTTCTCCATCCCCCGCGGGGTCACAGCTGATTTTTGGACCACTTTGGGGGGCTTTTGAGGGGGCTAAATCCGTCTCAGCTTCCGACAGCAACCTGCTTTCCCACAAACGTGGTTCGAGGTTGCTGCAAGTGCTCTTACCTGGTTCATGATCTCACATCTTGCTCTCACACAGCGTGTTTAGCCAGTGGGGACCCTTATATAGAAAAAAATATATTAATTAAATAAATTGAATAATATAGGGGGGACCCTATATATGAAAATAATAGGCATGGAAGCATCCTCTGGGAAAGAATGGTGGTAAAATACAAATAATTATAAATAAATGTAAATACAAATATTTATTACCTAGAGGTATGAATATAGATATAAATAGATAGATGATACAGATAAATGCAACACATCCTTTAAATGACACGTCAATGCTCATGTCCCAGCCTGGAACAGAGGCAGGAGCCCTGACACCAACCCAAGCAGTGCCCAAATCCTTCTGCAGGTTGAAAGCAAAGGTTTTTTTCCTGAAATGAACCTTCCTCTCTGAACTGCCAAAGCGCTGCTGCGAGTTGAAGGCGCCTTGCTCTGTGCATTGCAGAAATCGATCGAATTTATCAGAGCAAATAAGTGTTAATTAAGTCTTATTACCCATGTCCCTCAGTGGATGTTCCTTCCCTCGCCATAATAAAAACAGCACAACCTTCCCAGGTGAGAAAACACCTGCCCTGCTGTATCACAGCAAAACAGCGTGTCTTGGGACGGGGGAAAGCAGCTCCACCCTCTGTTTGCTGGTTATCCATTTCCTTTTCATTCAAGTGGAGGGAGGTCACAGCCCCAGACTTAAACACCCCAAAGTTCCTGCACGACTTTGAAACGGCAGCAGGTACATTTTGTATACCAATGCTGCTATCTGCTGGCTGTGCTCTGCTAGAACAGTCAATCCCTGGCTCGAGAGGGTGGCTGATACTCGGGGAACGGTGCCCATGCAGAAGCAGCTCCCAAAAAAAGGTCGCTGCCCCACCACAGTGCCCTGCTGCACCTCGGGGTGCTGGCAATCCATCCCCGAGGCACGGTGACACCGTTATAATGGAATTATAAAAGACAGCGGGCTTGAAAGTGCATATTCTAGGAAGGGGGGACATCCACAATGGAATTTCTAACATGGGTTTCACATCACTTCGTTTTCCATCTGCTTGTTCCTTGCGTGGGAGTTCTCCAGCGTTTGCTGCACCATCTGCCGCCAGGACATGGAGGAGTTTTGCTCCAAGACCAGGTGACCAAGACCAGCTGTGGTGGTTGATGGAGCAAGAAGTGGTGAAGCAGCATCCGTGGAGCCAGGGCACATCCCTGTGGCTGGAGGGAGGTAGCACTTTGGGGTCAGCCACAAGCTCAGTCATCATCAGATGGACATTGAAGCATCTCTTGGCCTTGGTGAAAGGTGATGCTCGAGCTCATTTCCTCTTCTTTCCTTTTCTAACCACAGGGAGGAAACCAGCAGCGTGTGAAATCCATGTCTGCACCAACTGGATATTTGAGTGGTGGACCTGGTAGTGGTTGGACTTGATGATGATCTTAGAGGGCTTATCCAACCTTAATGCTTCCATGAGTCTCTGATTCTGTCCTTGATTTCAAGGTAAATGGAACAGCATCTGTGTAGGGCTTTTCCATCACCCAGGAAAAAATTATATTTACAATTATTTGCATTACAGGCACTTCGCATATGTTTTAATTCTGAGTCTTTAATCTTAGCCTTCAGATCTATTTAATTTGCTGGTGTTTTGATTTGCAGTAAGAGACGTAAATGAGATTATCCATCCCTTGAGATAAACTGTCAAAGGCAAATGCTGAGGAATTGGGTTCTAAAAACATTTTAATGTGCTCGTGTTGCAAACCCTGAGATGGAGCCAGAGATGAGCAGAGATCAGTGTGAGCCAGGACCAAGGTCCCAAAGACCACACGGTGTGAGCAGGATCTTGGGATGATGCAGAGCTGTCCCCACGATCCTGGGCTCTCCTCCTCCTCATTCCTTCAGGACCCACAAGGGCAGGAGGAAACACCTCCTCAGTGTGCAAAGAATGTCCTAAGTGCCGTGAGGCTGCACGATTTTCTTTTCTGACTTAAAAAAACAGGTGAGACAAGGATGGGTGAGCCTGGGCTGCTCTTTGTGGGTCAGTGTGGAGGGGCTGGTGCGGAGTCAGATGCAGGAATTGCTTTGGGTTGACATTTTCCTACTGAAAATTCTTTGTGTTTTTCCTCTGGAGATAAACCCTCACAGTTTTTAGCAGTTTTTCTGTTAGTTTTCTATTGGCAATTTGTGGTGTTGGGAGAAAAGGAATTTCACTCCTGGTTCCACTACTCTGACAGCGGAAAGAAAGGTCTGAAAAGTCCTATCACTTTTTTTCCTGCCTTAGACACAGATGTCCCAAGGGCCCTTATATAAAGGAAATTTATTTTCAAGTTACATACTTTTTTATTCCTATAAATTAAACAATACATAACTCTACTGACCCTTAGTTATTTATTTGCTATTTCTGGTTCTTGAGATTTTTTTTTTCCTTCATATTTTTTTAATCTTCTTGTTTGCATCTTCCTTCTTTCCTTATCTTCTTCCTGCCCCAGAGGCTTATTGCTGCTTTGGCAACATGCTAACGTGTTTAGGAACGATAAGACGTCTAATTAATAGTTTAATTAGCAGTACAAGGTCTTAATAGCTTATTAAAGGAAATACATTCAGAGAATTCTTCTCCTTTCCTTGCGTTGGTACAATATAATTTACCAGCAAATGATAAAACAGTTTGAAACTGCTCAGACTTTCAGTGAGGAAAGTGGGGCTGGATTGGTGATTTCACGGGGGATTTTGCACCGCTAATACCATTATTTTGTTGTTGTTGTTTTAAAACAATTTAAGAGATTAACAGAAGCGATTGGGAAGGAGCAGCGTGGCCGTGGTGCGCAGGCAGGAGGAATTAAATCCCTCCTTGTGCATATAAACAAGTCCTGAGGAAGGTAAACTTGCTCTTTAAGAGGCTCGGGCTGAAATGTCAGGTCACGGTCGGAGCTGGGGCAGCTCAGCCACCCCTCCTGCTCCTTTTCCACTGAATGTTAGTTAAAAAATCATGATTTTAACCCAAGGCATCCTCGGC